TGGGAAAACAGTCAATCAATAGAACTGTACCCCATAATTACACAGATGACAGAATTAGTAGAATAATATATTAAATATCTATTATATTTTCATGAATATACAATAAAGCATAAATATGTTCAAGAGAGACAGAGAAGATATATTTTAAAAGACCTAAATCAAACTTCTAGATCTGAAAAATACAAGGTCTGAGATAAAAATAAAATAAAAAATTATTTCTAAGGGGGAATGAATTTCAAATTAGACACTATGAGAGAGAAGATTGGTGAACTTGAAGACATAGCATTAGAAACTACACAAAATGAAAAACAGAGGAAAGAAAAGACTTAACAGAGCATCAGTGAGCTATGGAAAACTTCAAATGACCTAATGTACATGTAATTTGAGTCTCCAAAAGACCTTCTTTTGGTTGTAGAAAATAAATTTGAAGAAATAATGGCTAAAATGTGCCAGATTAGATGAAAGTTATAATTTCACCAATCCAAGCTAAAAAATCTCCTAGTACGTAAAAGGTGAAGTAAACTACATCACGACAACATCATAATGAAATTTGTTAAAACCAGTGATGGAGAGAAATTTTGAAAATAAAAAGTATGACATTATGCAAAGTGGGCTAAAGATAAGAATGATAGAATATGTTTCATCAGAAAGAACAAGCAGTGGAGCAAAGTGTTTAAAGTGCCAAAGATGAAAACTATCAACCTGAAATTCTCTGCCCAGTAAAAATATGTTTGAAAAACAAAGGTGAAAAATAAACATTTTCAAACATATAAAATCTGATTGAATTAATTGCTGGCACGCCTTTCCTATAGGAAATGTAGCCAAGAGGAAAATGATACCCAAAGGAAACCTATATCTACACAAATGAATGAATATCACCAGAAATTATAAATATGTACAAATATATGACTTATTTTTGAAATGTCTTTGACAGCTAATGACAAAATAAAAACAATGTCTTGTAAAGTTTGTAATATCTATAGAAGTAAAATATGTAAAAACTATGTAAATACATCTACCATTCTGGGAGAAGGTAAAGGTAAGTTAACTATTATAGTCTTATTTACTATGTAAAGTGGTCTAATATTACTGGAAAGGAGAGAGGGATAAGTTGATGTTATGTCCTATGACCTTTAAGGAGCCACTTATAAAACAAACAGATATAGCTAAGATGCCAATAAAGATGATAAAATGAATCCTAAAATATCTAGTTAATCTAAAGGAAAGCAAAAGAAAGGAAAAGAAGGAGAAAAAATAGATGAAACAAATAGCAAGATTGGAAATTTAAGCCCTAACATATGAATAATTTATTAAATGTAAATGGTCTAAAATTCTTATCAAAAATAAGATATGAAAGCAAGACCCAACTATATGCTTTCTGAAAAAAAAAACACACTTGCAAATAAAGTAACACTTAGGAGTAATAATTGATCTAGGGCTGGAATATCCATGCAGCACCACAGTTCTGAGTAATACTTTTATTGACTTTATATGACTCTTCACATTGAGTGAGCTAAATGGTATGGATTTTATCCATAAAACAGTGTACCAAGTAAGGTTTCTGGAGTAAATCTTCGTGGCTTTAAATATTTCCACAACTAATTATTAGCTCTATCTCCTGTGGAAGTTACTTAAACTCTACAAGTCTCAAGTTTATCAATTATAAAATAATAGCAATAATAATAATTGTTTCAGATGATTATGGTGGTAAGTAATATAAACTACTTGTATTTTGGCATGAAATAATTATGTTGAGGAATAAAAAATGTATTCTCTTGTGGAAAATGACCTTATATTAAGGAAACGTCTATAATGTTTATGGAGAAATTGAAGAAATATTTCTTCATTATAACACAAAACTTACATAAAATACAGAGAATGATTTTGAAACCTGCCTTGGTTTAAATGTATGATGCACTAGAAGCCCCCTACATAATCAATGAAGACACAGCTATGAGGTTTAAGTTTTTGGATATTTATAGAAGTTGCCCCACTTTTTATTTTCCTCATTCCCTTGCATTTCTAAACAAAACAATTGTATGAACAAAATGAAGCCAAATTGACATTGCAATAATTTATTTTGTTATGAACTGAATGTGTCCTCCTGTCTCCCAAATTCATATATTGAAGCCCTGACCCCTAGTGCGGCTATATTTGGAGATGAAGCCTCTAAGGAAGCAAAGTTAAATTAGATCATAAGGATAAGGTCATGATCTGAGAGGAATAGTGTACTTTTAAGAAGAGAAACTAGAGAGCTTGCTCTCTCTGTCTTTCCTTGCACACACACCAAGGAAAGACCATGTAAGGACGTAGCATGAAAGTGGCTATCTTCAGCCCAGGAAGAGAGCTCTCACCAGAAACTGAATGGGCCAGAACCTTGATCTAGGACTTCTCTAGAGTCTATGAGAAAATAAATTTCTATTGTTTAAGTCACTAAATCTATGGTACTATACATTTCCTATCATCAGAATTATAGATTCCAATTATTTTCTGTTTTCTATTGCACTTATATTTTACTCTAGGAAACAGGAACCAAATTGTAGAGAAAAAGATATTTTTTCTCTAGGGTTCATTTATCTATCTCTATATGAACCAAAAAAAAAAAAGACTCTAATAAGCATAGAAAATTCCTGTTGGTTTTAAGTGTGTCTCTCTACTGAAGGTCTTTAAGATCTAACTTCATATCTTAGTGCTATAAGAATAAAGTCAGTGAGGAGACCATGTGCGCATGTGATAGAGAGGAGGTATGTGACTTAGAAACATAGGAATTGCTACGTGAAGGAAGAAACTCAATCAGAACAAGTCCATGGTGCCCATATGATTATAGTAGGGGATATACATTGTTTATAAAAGAAACATTATACATTGGGTGTTCATTCATAGATTTATAACACTGTTTTATGCACTTCCATTTTAAATCATAAGGAAAGAAAAAAGAGGAGTGGCAAACAAAAAGTACATCAATACTACCTTTCATATTTTCTTGTCTAGTTATTGGTATTGTTTTCTTTGTGTGGATTCAAGTTACTATCTTATATCCTTTATTTCAGCTTGATGGGCTCTCTTTAGCATTTCTTGTAGGGCAGGTCTAATAGTGACAAACTATCACAGTTTTTATTTATCTCAAGTGTCTTCATTTCAGCTTCGCTTTTGAAGAAGAGCTTTGTCAGGTATAAAATTCTTGGCTAAGAGTCCTGTTTGTCTTAAGGCACTTTGACTATATCATCCCACTGCCTTCTGCCCTCATAGTTTTTGATGAGAAGTCATCAGTTATTCTTATTGAGAAGCTCTTGTAGGTGACAAGTTGATTCTCTTTTGATACCTTTAAGATTCTCTGTCTTTAGGTTTCAACAATTTGATTATAATGTGTCTAGTGTGGATTTCTTCGAGTGTATTGTACTTGGAGTTTATTGAGGTTTTTGGATGTGTAGATCACTGTTTTGTCAAATTTAGTAGGTTTTCAGCCATTATTTGTTTCAATATTTTTTCTGACCCATTCTTTCTCTCCTAACTTACTGAAACTATCATTATATGTGCATTGGTAGGTGTGATGGTGTCCCATAGGTCTCTTAGGCTGTGTTCATTTTGCATGATCCTTTTTCCTTTCTATTATTAGATTGACAGATCTCAAAACTGACCTTTCTTTAGGTTTGTGCCACTCTCTCTTCTACCTGCTCCAATCTGCCACTGAAACTCTCTAATGACTTTTTTCATTTCAGTCGTTGCAGTTTTTACTTGCAGAATTTCTGTTTGGTTCCTTTTCATAATTTCTACCTCTTTATTGATTTTCTCTATTTGATAAGATAGTTTTCTTATGGTTTTCTTTGGTTCTTCATATATGTTTTCCTTTAGCTTTTGAGCATATTTAAAATAATGGATTTAAAGTCTTGGTTTAGTAAGTCCAATATCTGGTCTTCCTCAGAAACAGTTTCTAGTAATTTCTTCTATTTTCCTGTGCATAATTCATACTTTATTGTTTCTTTACATTTCTCACAAATTCTGTTGAAAATTGAATATTTCAAAAATTATAATATTAGAAATTTGGAAAAAAAAGTTTTCCCTCCTCTCCAGTGTTTGATGTTGTTGCTGTTTCTTGTAGATGTTTGTTTAGCAACTTTATTTAACTAATTTTGTAATGTCTGTATTCTTTGCTGTATGTGGACACTGAATCTCTGTTCCATTAACTTACTGGTCACCTAGAGGTTGGGCAGAGATTTCCTTAAATGCCTACGACCAAGAAATATCTTCAGGACTTTGAAGATGGGCTCTGTATGTGTTGGGATACAACTTCAACACACAGCTAGGTAGTTTGCAACTATGTCTTAGCCTCCACTTCCTGTTTGCACAAAGCCTAAGTGACAGCCATCAGTAAGAGCTCAGGGTATTTTCAGGTCTTTCCTGAGCATATGCATGTATACACGTGCTCATGGCTTTCTAGTTTCCCAGGAATATGTTGAAGTTTTTCAAAACTCTTACTCCCAAGGCATCTCATTTCTCAGCTTTCCTCACAAGCATTTTGGTTAGTCTATTGTTTTCTTTGACAGTCTTCTATTGACCCAAGCAGTAGTGACTAACACTTTCACCTGTAAATATTATAGACAAATGCCCCCTGAGTACCAACTTCAGCATTGGAAGGGCTAAGACAAGCCCTTTGGACATCCTCCATGGAGCCAACACATAGGTCAAACTCACAAGTACAATTCCTTGCAAATGAGGTTCATCCTGCAACTTTGGGTTGCAGGACCTTTACTAAGAATGAGTATTGTTGTTATCTTCAAAACAACTACTAAGCTGGAAAGAGAAGGATGTGACCAGGGTAGGTTAGATACCACAAAACTATTCTAGTTGAGATTGAGCCAGCTTTTCTTGATTATGTATTCCTTTAGTTGCTATAAGTTTTTCTTTAGTTTTTAGAGTTCCAAAAAAGTTGATTCCAACAGTTTCTTCCACTTTATTCATTGTTTTTATGGAAGGATAGAATTTTGGAATTTCTTACTCACCATTTTCAATGAGTCCAGAGCCATAACATTTTAAAATATGAAGAAAGTAGTTGAGATTATCTACTGAATCCATTTTTTATATGAAGAAACTGAAATTAGAAATTCAGAGTTTAAATAAGTATGCTTTGGCATCAATATGCAAAATGTTTCAGACAAAGATGTTTCTGAACATATATCTGAATATATCTTTGAAATTCTTAAAACATGACTATCTTGCTGGAAGCTAAACTTCAACATGTTCTTAGTATTTCTCTACCTCAAATCTGTTTCCATTTTCCCCGTTTCCGTTAATGACACCAGGCTGAAAACATTGGCATATGTTTTGCATTATTTTTCATCATATCTTATACTTCATAAATTATCAGTAAATTGTCAGGACCGCATTTCTAAACATCATCATCCTACTTTAGATTCTCATCTGCTTTGAACAAATGCATTGCAGTAACTTCCTAGCTAAAGGTTCTGCCTCCAGACTCTTCTCCATCTAAGGCTCCAAAAGTAAGTTTTTCTCTCTTTTATCCCATTGTGATATTACCCAAAATCTATAAGGCAACAAAATAAAATTATTTGCTCTTTCTCAAATATTGTGCATGCTTCCATGTTAACTCAATTGCCTTCTTAACCAGTAAAATCTAAATTATTTCTGTCATTCATCTAATTACAAATGCAACTTATTTAAGGGAGCTTTTCCTCCTACACAAGAGCTTTTCACCCGTACACTGAATATTTTTATTGTCAATACTTTATCTTAGGCATTCTTTTGTTGTTGCTTTTAAATACGTACACATTTAACTTCTCTGAAAGTTTTCTGAGGGCAGAAATTGGCCTTTCCATCTTTCTATCTATCTGTTACCTTTCTACATTTTTTTGCATAAATTCACCACTCAACAAATATCTGTTGAATTAAGGCTGTAAATTAAATTGCTTATCAAAAGTTGGCAATGTCATTCATTAAATATATCATGTTTCATATATGTACAGACCATATGCTCTAATTATTATAAATATCCCTGACTATTGCTGTCTTGTTGCAAAAAAGAGGCAATTAACAGTTACTTTAGGAAAGCGTTAAATAAATACTTTTGAGTGTAGAAATGCCAAAAGAACTCTCCAATGATTAACTCTAATATAAACTGAAAAATATAGCAATTGCTCTTTTTACTTTTCCAAAGAGTCTGTATTTTTAGGTCAGCTGACTATGATTTAATGGAAATTTTCATAAATATTTGCATATCTTGAGGATAAAATATGGCTCCTTTATAAAAGATCATTAAATGAAAAGTTTTATTGTAGTTGAAATTTTATTTACTCTAGGATCAAGGTTATTTTGTGACTTTTCCCTGTCTCCCAAATCATAATCAACGGATGTTTATCTCCATGCTTTTAGTCAAATGGCTGTAAATGGGCTGTGAGGGAATATTTTCCTTCAGTTCCTTGACTGAATTTTTGCTAGGCTGTGAGCCAAACCATTCTTACCTCTTTAATATTCTTAGTAATTACTCCACACAGTGCTATTATTGTTCATGCTGGTCTACATTTGGAGTAAGGAACAGACACTGATGAATTGCCTCCAATTTTATTTGTCAGATTTCATCACTAATACAAAACATATTACTAGTCTTGGAGGCTGGGTCATTTTTAAAGGGTTCTTCATCTAATATTCTTCTTGTGCATGCCTAAGTATGACCCATCGCTTCTGCGATCCACTCTGCTCTGAATGGGACCAGAAAACTCAGCATCTGATGAGACCTCCATTATGTCCTGATGACGCAATATCATGCTAACTTTTATCACTGCTCTTTGAACTTTCTCAAGAACTTTTACAGTTGTTATCCTAATCATTTGGTTCTCAGCACACCAAGTGAGGCAGATAAAATGAATATGACCATTTCCGTTTACATATGAGAAAACTGAAACCCAGAAAGAGTAAATGAATTATTTAAGTTTAGTGGCAGAAAACAGTCTCTTGACTACGATCTCTTTTCTATTTTTATGACATTTTGTTGCAGTCCTTGGCCGATTACAATCTTCCTGGAAAAAAATAGTATTATGTCTTTTATGTAATTTTTTTATATACTATCCCAAAGGGATGTTGGAAAACAAGTGGTGTTCATCTGAGCAATTTTGAAGACCACAGAAGAAAATAACTTAGATATCATTTAAGCTCGTGTAATTTCTATTTCATGCATCTTCTTTTTCCCCTTAAGGGCTAGATTCATTATACTAAGGCATTAGTAAGTCTTTCTATTACTCTTTTGGTCACCATATTTGAATGGGCTATTCAGTGAAGTACATGTCTATCAAAAGTAACAAGAAGAATTTCGAAGAATTAGTGAAAAAGTTGGCTTATAGAATAATTTGTATGGGCAAATATCCCTTCTTTATCCCTCATTAGCCAATTGCTAATGAACTTCAAATAAATTATGTTTAACTTCAAGGTGAGCTATATTCCAAACTATGAGAGGAGCAAAAGTTATATATGGTATTCAAGTTACTCAAATTGTAATTTTTGATTCCACTTCCTGATAGCTTGTCATACCTAAGTACACACTAATACCGGTAAATATATATTTTAAAGACTTTTATGACATGATATTTTCATTATAAAATTCTGAAAATTTTAAAGAATGACTAGAAAAACTATCACTATATATGAAAATATAATCCAAATAGTGATGAATTCTGAGAAGTTTATCATTTTGCCACATATCTCAGAACTTAGTAGAAAGAAAGTTCTATTGTGGGCCTTATATTGGTGTGTAGGGAAACTTGTCTTACTTTTATATCATGTAAACATCTTCCTACCCATGGAAGTAACCTTTCTAGAAGATGCAACCAGAGGGAAATTAAAAGAAGGAAGTGCTTCCAAGTATCAAAGAATAAATGGCTAGTAGATACCTAGATACAATTTTCAATCTCATGGATCTGTATTTTCTCACGCAGAGTTTAACAAACTAGAATTAATTTTTCAGATATAATGTTTTGTCAGGTAAACCTCAACTCAGGTGACGATGTTCCATAAGCCATCCCACCCAGAGAACAGATTGGAATTTAGTATTACTACTCTATTTTTAAAACTTTTCCGTCACCTTTTCATTGTGTTGAAATGTTCTTGATCCAAACTTTTACTTCCTTATGGGAATTTGATGGTATAGTCAACAGTAATATCATCACAAATGTTCCTTTGTGGGGAGAGACAGCTGTGTTCACCAACAAGTAGTATGTGCCACAAAGAACCTAATTTAAACAGATGGAATCTAATTAAGACATTATAAGATGTCTCCCCCTCTACATACACATCTCAGAGTTTAGTAGAAACAAAGTTCTAAATTGACTGCAGGGTTTTTACATGGTTATCTTTATTCACAAATCAATATATTTAAAAATTATAATCTAAGAGATTTCTTTATTACAGCTTTTAAAAATAGAAAATTCATAACTTGATCCTCATGGAGATTCTCTTTTACTTCTCCAAGTCTTTGTTTAAACCCAAATTCTGTCCTTTTTAAATTCAGTCCTTCTGGATAATTCTCTGTTTGGGACAACAAGGTTATTGAACATTGCTTATCATGTTGTACGATCCCCTCACTCACACACCATCACCATCTTGCTCTGTTTGCCTAAGGCAGACCTATTGGCTTTCCAGAAAACTCGCCTACTACCCCACTAAAATATACATGCAATGCTTACATCTAGATGATTCTAGTCACTTGGCTATTTACCTATTCGTCAGATATTTTTTCCTTTCACTGCAGGCCTCTTTCACTTATTTCTTCTCGGCTCTGAACTGCTGAGACTGGAAGCCTGCAAACTACATTCCCAAATCCATTGCCAGCTGTCCTCCTATGAAGTTTGTTAAGGTGAGACATGTTGGAAAGAAAAAAGAGTCCATTTTGCTTCTGCAGCGGCCATCCCATTTCAAGACAAACACTCACCACTCAGCACCTCTCCAGTGGTTCCAGGACCGGCCATGCAGTGACTTCAGTTACATTGCAGTTAGTTCAGACTTCTTGGTTCAAGTACAGGGGTTGAAATGACCTCCTCCTTTCTAAGTTTCATTTCTCCTCTTAAGTGTTCTTCAGGAACCACTCTCTTTTTTCTTTTATCCATCCAGTGATTTATGGCATGTTTGTAGCCAGTTCCTTGCATTAAATCTTTCTCTGTTTGGAATATCTTGAATTCTTTCCATTTTCGCAAGCTGACTCTGATTGACACTGCACTTCCTATAGGAAGTAGTCCCATAGGAAGTAGTAGTACATAGTAGTCCTGTGGGTGGTAGATCTTTGAAGATGGCAGTCTGGGGAGGGTTTTCTGACTTGACTAGGCTTGAACATGATAATAACCTCATTGCCAGTGGAAAGTGGGATAATGTAAATGTATGCAGTAATAGAACAGTTATTTAATTCATTATTCATTTTTTTTTTCTGTTTGGAGTGGGGTGCCAATTGAAGACAAAGCTGTGAGACACCTGTTAGTTGCTGCAATTGACTTTGGTGGGAAAGATAATTACAAACAGTCAGACTTGCTAGCAATTTCTGATCGAGTTTAGGGGAAAAAAGGACAAGCACAGGCTTTAAAATTCTAGCACAAGTTACAGAATGAGAACCACTAACCTTCCATGCTTATGCTACAAGCACATCTTATCTCATTGTAAGATTGTTGCAGCTAAAATTAAAATCCAAAATTTGACTTTGTATGAAGGAGAATTAAAATATAAGTTGATTCATAAACTTATGGCTCTTATTGAAAATTAGAAAATTGATGAAAAAGCAGTAGGACCCTGAGATTTATACTGAGGGCATATGTGAGGACTTAGATAAATCTCATAAACTTGAACATCCAAATCCCCTTGAGCTTCTAAAGGCAGGGAAGACAGGTCCTCCCAGTGTCTGAGGAGACTGGCCTTCCTTTGTTTTAAGACCCTGTAATGACATCAGCTGTAGATTCACTTTTCAAAGGGATGCACATTTGCATCAGGACTCCGCCTTACTACTCTCATTGACCCACACTCAACATGAGGGTTATAGCCCATCATGCTTGGTCTAGGGAGACAAATGTAAAGTCTGAATGAGGAAGAGATAGTTAATACTCCAAAATATTTTTCTAATTGCTACTTTACTTCAGCAGAAAGCTGGTAAATATATTAGGAAGTGAATTTTTAGAGTTTTAGATCGGGGGTCAGAAAACTGAATTATGTAGTCCCAATTTTTTTGTAAATGAAGTTTTTTTGGAACACAACCATGCAGTTATTTATTCATATGTGTCAATGTCTGCTTTGGTGCTGCAATGGCAGGATTGAGTGGTTGCAACAGAAAACTTAAGGCCATCAATCCTAAAATATATACTATTGGGTCCTTCAGGAAAAAGTTTGCTGACTCCTGATGTAGACCAAGGAAGATAGAGTATCACATTGGATTAGGCTAAATTTGTAGATGTTGGTGTTTTTACCCAAATCCAGAAGTAAGGTGTTTACTAGAGTAGCTCAATTGATTGATAGGAGCCTAAATTCAAAATTGTCCTATATTCAATAAGGCTGAGATAACAGAATTCTGCAGTATTAAACAGATGATTTAAGGATATAAGAATGTTTAACTGAATTTACTTATGTAACCACCACAATCCCAAAAATGTACCCCAACAGTGCCTAGACTCTCTCTCTTCAATCCAACATTATAATATGCATCTGTGAGTGGAGCACAAGCATCATTGTGGTGGCTGCCCTCTGCATATCTGTGGTTAGAAGATGTGGCCGTTAAAATCAGCTCCCCAGTTTCAAATGGCATGGTGGGATCTTGGACTGTCAGAGGTACAAAGGCAGGCATAGCTACTTAACGAAAGTAGGGCTGGAGCAGTAAATAAGTGTTTTAATATGTGAAGGTTGTTGGTGATAGCTAATTGATCATGGCAATGAAATAGATGGGCAGCTGGTAAAATATTACATGAGCCACATAGTCAGGAGGATTCTGGATCTGGTGATCAGAAATCAGACGAGTAATTTCCCAGACAGCAACTAGTTTATACATCCAGAGTCATTTAATGAAGGGAAGCTATGCCCCCTTGAAGAAGAATCTGGTGGATTTCTAGGTTACTCTCTGTGAAGTTTTACATTCCAATGGTCTACGGCTTGTCAGAATATTCCCTTAAAATAGAGAAAAGTCAATACATTTTTTACTAGCATATATCCTCCCCACAGACAGACACACACACTCACAGTGCTTGGCATCATATTGTTCCTTTTTCATTTTTGAGGCGATGTTTACCCATTTGGGTGCTCTGCAGATTCTCGGTATCTGTTGGGATACCAGTTTAAACGAGGTTCAAATCAAACCAATGCCCTGCAGCAGATCCAGGCTACATACAAGCTCCTCTGTTCCTTGGGCTTGTAATATAGTAAATCCAATGGCACTGAAGTATTTGTAGCAGACAGGGATGATTTATGGAGCCCTTAGCAAGACCCAAAGTATAATCACTGTGCCAACCCCTCAGGCATTTTAGGAAATCCATGTCCCCAGATACTATTTATCTTTTGAGAACTTGCTCCTGGGCCTCATAGAGACTGAATGCTTCACCACAAAACATTAAGGACTATGCATTCCAGGCGTCCTGATGTTATCTGATCCGCCAAACCGTAAAAATCGGATGTGTACTGGGGCTGGCCCCGTGGTGGAGGTGTTAAGTTCGCGCGCTCCACTGCAGGCGGCCCAGTGTTTCGTTGGTTCGAATCCTGGGCGCGGACATGGCACTGCTCATCAGGCCATGCTGAGGCAGCGTCCCACACGCCACAACTAGAAGGACCCACAACGAAGAATATACAACTATGTACTGGGGGGCTTTGGGGAGAAAAAGGAAAAAAAAATTAAAAAAAAAGAATTGGATGTGCACTGTCACAATCCCTAAACAAATGGAAGTAGTACATGTTAAAGCGTTTTCAAATAATGAAGACATTGTGAGTTACATGAACAGGAAGCTCAGACTTCTAGGGCACCTATTCCTGCTATGTTGCTTTATTTCTCTTAACTCACAGGTATGGTTTCATACTGAGTTCCCTATAACTATAGCACTGAGGAAGAAAGTACTTGGACATGGCTTATACATGGTTCTGCATGATGTTCTGACACAATATAGAAGGACATTTTGTCATTACCACAGCAATTTGAAATGGTGTTGAAAGATGGTGAAGGAAAATCCTTCAAGTGGGCAGATATTTAACCAGTGTATCTTGTTTTCCACTTTGCTTTGATGGAAAGATGGTCAGAGGTAGAGAGCTATTTTAGATTTTGGACAGTGGGTCATTGTTTGGCTAAGTGGTCAAAAATATGTAAAGAATATGATTAGAAGATGCCATGGAAGTTCGAAGAGGCACATGGATGAATCTTTCACAATGGGCATAAAATGTTGGATGTCTATGTCCCAAGTAACTCATGTCTAGACAGCAGTCATTACTGAGGGAGTTCTCAGAATGCAGTGGACAAGATGACCTACTCTGTTTGTATCAGTTAGCCTCTTCCTTAGACACCCTGGTTCTTGCTCAATGTATTCATTAACAAAGTCTCCATGGCAGTGAGGATGGAGAAATTATGCTTGAGCTAAACAACACGGGCTTCCCCTCACTGATGCTAATTAGTTTCTTTCCATGGCTGAGTGTCTACTCTACCAACTGCAGAAAATAACCATGAGCCCCCAATATGTCAACAACCTCAATAGGAGCCAGTCAACCACTTGAAGGCATCTTACTATATCAGACTCCTTGGATCACAAAGGGAGTAGCAGTTTGTTCTTATTCATGTAGATACTAATTCTTGATATGGGTTTGCCTTGCTACCACAGACATTTTGCCAGCACTACCATCCAAGGACTTATGGAATGTCATGAATAAATTCAATGAATGATATCATTTATGTCTTTTCTTATGGACAAATAATTTATTTTAGAACAAAAGAACTGTAGCTATGGACTCAGTGACATGGGACATAGTAGCCTAATCAAATAAGTAATTGCCCAGAAGTGGTGGTTTTATCAAATATTGAAAAGGTCTATCAAAGTCCTTCTAATACTTTGTCACCAATTCCCTATATTAAAGACCTTTCTGCTTGAAATCTTTAGAGTGGTATCTGTTTTCCTATCTGGACCATGACTAATACATTTACCTTCTTGTTATAGGGTTTGTCTAGTACTTGCTGAGTCATTAAGTTCTGGCCACTGCCAAATCCAACTGTAATTGCCAGACAACTAT